TATGGTCTTGGGCCCAGGGTTCGACATTAGTGTTAGTCTCAGACTAAAACATTTTCATTCAGACTAATAAAATCGGTAGCTTACCGTACTAGAATGGAATACTATAAATCACTTTTTATTTGTGAGAACTTTATTTTCCCGTAATTACACGAGACAACGGTAAGCTTGCGAAAATTTCATTCTCGCATGTAACAGAATTCCTTGAAATTATATAGAGCAATAACACATTTCATGAAAATTTTGTCTTGCTGATAAAGAGTCAATGACTTTCTTGCCGCCAGTCTTGCGAAAATAATGTTCAGGAAAATTAAGTGATTTACAAAAATAAATTTTCTGGGAAAAATACTTTACTGAAGTTCAATTCTCAATAACTTACACAGGAAAAACATGTATTTTTGGCTTTCTAGGTGCGAAGTTGGGTAATTCGGAGTTAATCAGCAGTTTGAGTTTAGAACTCTTTGGTATAAAATTATACACTTAAGCGATCATAAATTAGATTACACTTTATGTTTGGATGATGTTATCATGTATAGAGAACAACATATGGAATTGGGAATATGATCAGATTTCCTGATTACAAGAATTTCAATGAATTTAGGAATTAAAAAAATCAGATACGTAAATGCTTTTTTTATTTAAAAATTTTATATATAAAAAGTACTGTTGTATGTTTACTCTGCTAAATATTTTAATTTTGAAAGACTCGTAACATTGCACGCAGACTAGTAAAATTAAGAAATATTTAAGAGGCGAAATAAAAAATTAAGATTAGTTCTCAGGGCCCGCAGCATTCAAGTCTACTCCTTCAATTGACAATTTTTTTTGGTAAAATTTATCAAAATATTCAAGGAATTGTTTGTTAGTCATGACAAGTTTTGAATTTAGAAAGCCCAAATTTCTATCATTAAAATGCTTATAAGTACAAACTAAGATGTTATAAAACTTAAAAATAGACCTAGACTAGTGCAGTTGAGAAGGAAAACATTTTTGCCAATGTGTATTGTCAGTCCTGTTAGGTCAAGTTCTGTTGTGGGTACTATTGTGCCATTTTTGTACAAAGTTATGCCCCTTGGAATTGGAAAAATTCCAATTATTTGCAGTTTCTTTTAATTTTGTTTGCAAAAGATTTACATATTTAAATGAAATTTAATATACAGATTCATCATAAGAATATCTATGTCAAGTTGTGTTTTGGTTACAATAGCATCATTTTTGACAGAGTTTTGCCCCTTGGAGGTAGTTAAATTCCAATTATTTTGGAGAGGGTGGCATAAACATCTCTTGTTTAATTATAAAGCACTATCTTAAAGACAATAATATTAAAATAATATACCACAGAAATAAAAAAAAATCCATAAAAAATATTTAATCTTCCTAAATTTTGATACAGAGCTAATTTTCCCAAGAGATATACCTTATAAATAGTCTAAAATGATCATGACAACCAACCCCTCCTTAAAAGGACTCGAAAGACAGACTTGCTGTTGATGAAATTAACAATATTGATTTATTAGAAATGAACCAAAGTACTTAACCCTTTTCATGGCATATAATGTTCCTATGAATCTGATGTGAAAAACGAGTATAGTATAAACTGCATTAACAAAATAACTTATTTAATACTGCAAATATCAGAATAATTCTTGCACTGTTAAAAAGAGAAAATAATTACAACAAATTAATTTACAGATAATTTTTTGATGGGTTGTACAAGGTTTTTGCTAGCCCGAGTTCACTGTGCGTACCATTCTAGCAATGTTGCGGTGGTCTAAATCAACTCGGGGTTGTTTTTTGGAGCTCAGCCTTAGGAAACATGATATGTTGAATTCTGGTAAATACCCCTTAACCCATGCCATCCTTTCAAAACCCTTAAAATTTGTTAAAAACAACAAATATACAACATGCTGATAATTTTCAACAATAAAATTTAATTTTTAAGAATATTTAATAAAGCATAAAACCAGAATGAAACTCATTCTTAAATGGAAATTTCAGCATTAGTATGCTGTAAGCTAAAAGGGCAAAAGGCAAACTTGATTATCGATGAACATAGTGATATTGGATTAGAAATTCCTTAGTTGTGTTTTCATATAGATTATGAGGTAAAAATCCTAATTAAAATAGAAGTGATATTTGATAAAGCTAAGAAAACATGATGGAGGGTAAGGCTTGTCCAGCCAACTGAATTTTCCACTGATGTGTTTTGTTTATCCTGCAACATGGATAAAGATGCAATTAGTATGGAGTTCTGTGTCTTTTTGCCCTTGATTGGCTAGTCATCTAAAATGTTCTCATTAAACCCACGCAAACAAAGTTTGGTGGGGTATATAGAAATCAGCTTGTCCTTCTCTCTGTGCTAATGTGTCTGGCACATATCTTTCAGACGGAGGAACATTACAATCTACTACTCCACGCAAAGATTGCTCATGACCTATGGCTGTGTCATGACTTTGACCCAAGGTCGTCTGTGCAAGTTCAAGGTCACTGGAAGAAAAATTTAATAATTCGTTACCGGTCCATATCTTTCTTATGAATAAACTGGGTAAGTTCTCATTTCACACATAGATTGCTCATGACCTAAGGGTGTCTCATGACCTTGACCCAAGGTCGTCTGTGCAAGTTCAAGGTCAGTGAAAGAAAAATTGTATAATTCATGTTTGGTACAAATCTTTATTATGGAAAAACTTAAATCTACTTCTTCACACAAAGATTGCTTATGACCTGAGGTTGTGTCATGACCTCACCCAAGGTCATCTGTGCAAGTTCAAGGTCACTGAAAGAAAAATGGTATAATGCATGTTTGGTACATATCTTTATTATGGAAAAACTTGAATCTACTACTTAACACAAAGATTGCTTATGACCTGAGGTTGTGTCATGACTTTGAACCAATGTCATATATGCAAGTTCAAGGTCACTGACAGAAAAAGTTCATAATTTGTGTCTGGTCTGTATATTTAGTCTATTTTTTTTTATTAGGCTGTGCCTTCATTTCATTTATAAAAAGAATATAATGAGCAATTACATTTGCACTAAAAATGTTTTAGCATTTCTCTCTTCTATTAGATCAATAAATTATTCATGATTTAGCACCTCTGAAAACCCAGTAAGGGGTATTTTCCCCGGTTTGGACAGTTCTAGTTTTGTGTATGATCTATGAATTAGGATTCAGTTGTAGGTAAATGTTATGTGTCTATAAATTGAAAACAAGTCGGACAAATTTGCAAATGCATATGGACATTTTCTTTTGTTTTAAAATTGGAACTTTCAATTCATTTTTCACCTCCCAAGTCCAATCTTAGGCGCAGGGTTAAATATACAATATATTTGTAATTTTAGGTATAAAATTAGAAAAGTAAATATTTTTTAAGGAATAGGAAAACTGATTGAAATTTTTTTATGTTTTGAAGAAACTGAACAATGCCACGTAAAAAGAACTGGAGGATGGCATCAGTGAAGATGGGGAACCAGAGTCGTGGTAGCAGTGACAATAGACTCGTGGATACTAGCCACGTAAAAAATAGTGCGAAAGACCCAACGATTAACGCAACAGATGACGGACCTTTTAGACTCGTGGAAGCTAGCCACGTAAAAAATAGTGCTAAAGACTGGGGGGATACTGCCTCCTTAAAAAGAGTACTAGATTTGCCTTCGGGCGCCAGAAACATTACAGATTTGCCTTCGGGCGCCAGTAACATTGCAGATTTGCCTTCGGGCGCCAGTAACATTGCAAATTTGCCTTCGGGCTCTATGAACACTGTCAATATGCCTTCGGGCGCTATGAACTCTGACAATATGATGCCTTTGGCTGCTACGAACTCTGACAATATGATGCCTTCGGGCTCTACATTTAATGACAATGTGATGCCTTCGGGTCATACAAACTCTGACAATATGATGCCTTCGGGCACTACAAACTCTGAAAATATGCCTTTGGATACAATTGAGAAAAATTTGTTTGTGACAAAATTATTTGGAACAATTAATCAAGCTAGTAATTTATTTCCACCTTTTTCTAGAGGAGTTCAGTGCACATGCAATGCTTTGATGTCGATCATTTTGCAAAGTGCATCTACTTCAGCAGAACTTGATGAGGTACTCTTTGCTGGGGATGATTTATTTAGAGTTAGAATTGCAGAATTACAGTTCAATTTTTATCAAAAATGCTACAATTTCAAGAACTTCCCAAGTCTGTTTCTGTGAATGATAACCATTATGAAATATGCTATTATGAACAGATCTATGGAACTGTGACTCATATAGATTGGGATCAGTCATGTCAAAGTATCAATTTGAAGGAAGGTATTGAGCTGCTCTTTACAAGGTATAATCAAGGATTAATTATAGTTGGAGGAATTTGCTCTGCTATATATGTTGATGGCAATAACTGTCCAGTATTTTTTGATTCGCATTCCCATGGAGAGGACGGTCTTTCATGTGCAGATGGCAGGGCTGTTAAAATCACTTTTAGTGATATTGATCAACTCATGGACTACATGTTTGAATTTTACCAAAGTTGTAATATTTCAATGCTAAGTCAGTTTGAGATTCAACCAGTGTCTGTAACACAAAAATCAAGTGTATCCAATTCTGGAAGCAAAAGACCTTCTTTAATTGATAAGTACTTTGAGTTCCAAGACAACATGTCAAGAAAATGTATTATTTCTGAAACACCAGAAGGAAATCGGAATGAATATATGAGAAATTATATGCGAAAAAGAAGAGAAAACTCACTGATAAAACAGAAAGACAGAGAAAGTAATTATAGAAGTATGACCAAAGCAAGGCAGAGTAAAGAATTTAAAGAGAAAGAACTTATTTCTAAACAAAAAAATAGAAAAAATTTAGAGACAAAGCAGAAGGACAGGGAAAGTACATTAAAAAGTATGACCAAAGCAAGGCAGAGTAAAGAATTTAAAGAGAAAGAACTAGCTTCCAAACAAAAAAATAGAGAAAATTCAGAGACAAAGCAGAAGGACAGAGAAAGTACATTCAAAAGTATGAACAAAGCAAGACAAAGTAAAGAATTCAAAGAGAAAGAACTTGCTTCCAAACAAAAAAACAGAGAAAATCCAGAGAGAAAGCAGAAGGATAGAGAAAGTAATCTTAGAAGTATGACCAAAGCAAGACAAAGTAAAGAATTTAAACAGAAAGAACTTGCTTCCAAACAAAAAAACAGAGAAAATCCAGAGAGAAAGCAGAAGGATAGAGAAAGTAATCTTAGAAGTATGAACAAAGCAAGACAAAGTAAAGACTTTAAACAGAAAGAACTTGCTTCCAAACAAAAAAGCAGAGAAAATCCAGAGAGAAAGAAGAAGGATAGAGAAAGTAATCTTAGAAGTATGAACAAAGCAAGACTAAATACAGAATTTTGTTCTAAAGAAAGAGAAGCAAAGAAGAGAAAAAGAGACAATGTAGAGCAGCTGGAAAAGGAACGGTTATGTAAACAGCAAAGTAGAAGGAATACCCGAGAAAAAGAAAGAGAAAATGAAAGAGTTTCTAAAGCTAAAAAGAGGCTTGATACAGAATTTAAAGAGAATGAAAACAAATTGGTAAAGAAAAAGTGTCATGGTAATTCTTTAGAAGATTGCATAGAGAAATTTCATGAACAAGTAAAAATTGGTCCAGTTTATGTGTGTACATGTTGTCATCAGACTTGGTTTTCGAAAAGTGTTGTGAAGCTAGATTCAACTTGTCTTAGTTCTAGTAGTAAAAGCATCTGCACTGGATTTAGATCTGTGAATGACATTGAATGGCTATGTTTAACATGTTGTTCAGCTCTGAAAGATGAGAAAATTCCAAAACTTTCAGTTAAAAATGGAATGAAATGGCCTGAAAAACCAGATGCTTTGAATTTACACCCACTAGAAGAGAGATTTATATCTCAACGAATACCATTTATGCAAATTAGAGAATTACCAAGAGGAGGTCAGATGTCAGTCAAAGGAAATATTGTAAATGTACCAGTTGATATTCAGCCAACTGTTAATGCCCTTCCACGACAAATGGATGAACATGTGACTATAGCTGTGAAATTAAAGAAGAGATTATCTCACAAGTCAGCATGCTTCACAGAAAATGTTCGACCAAATGTTGTGATAAATGCTTTACAATGGCTTATGAAAAATTCTGAATTGTATAAGAATTCAGGTATAGAGATAGACCATTCTTGGAAAGACGAAATCGAAAAAAGTAATGAGGAAACTGTACAAGAACTGACAGGATCTTCAAATGATAGCGATGATCGTGAAACTGAAGGTAATGATGATGGTTTTTGTGAAGTTACTTCAGATGTCTGTATTCAAGGCAATTCTGATACACTTGTTGATGAAGCAGACATTGATACAAATAAACTTTATGTGTTTGCTCCTGGAGAAAATCAAAAACCAGTAAGTTTGTTTACAGATAAAGATGCAGAATATCTCTGTTTTCCGACAATATTTTGTGGTCATCGTAGAACTGAGAGTGAGGAAAGAGAAGTTCCAGTACACTACAGTGATATTGCAAAATGGGAATTGCGCAGTGTTGATAGACGAGCAGCACAATCTGTACCCAACATCTTTTTCAAATTGAAGAAAATTCAAATTAAGCAAGTTAATGACAAAGTAAACTTGGCACTGAGAAGATGTAAATCAGAGGGCAAAAAAATCACTGCAGAACGAGTTTTGAATCCAGCCTCTGCAGAAAAAATTGTAAGATTAAATGAAGGGTATTATATATTCAGAACACTTAGAAATTCTCCTGCATATCTTTCATCAAAGAAAAAGGATGTATTTGCCATGATAAGGCAGTTAGGTCTTCCAACTTGGTTTATTTCTCTTTCATCAGCTGATACCAGATGGCAAGATTTGCTTAAAACATTGGCAATGCTAGATGGAAAATCCATGTCACAAGAAGAATTAGAAACTATGAGCTGGAATGAAAAATCAAAACTTGTAAAACAAGATCCAGTGACATGTGCAAGATTCTTTGACAACAGAGTTCAACTTTTCATCAATACTGTTCTTAAGAGTCCTCACAATCCTCTAGGTGTTGTCACTGATGTGTTTCGAAGGGTAGAATTCCAGAATCGAGGTTCACCACATATTCATATGCTGGTATGGACAAGTGATGCTCCAAAGCATAAGGAAAATAGCAACGAGGAAATAGAAGCTTTTGTAGATAACTATGTCACATGTGGTTTGCAGGAAAATGATTCTCAAATGAAGCAGCTTGTAGAGCTTCAAGTACATAAGCACTCAAAAACTTGCAAAAAAGGTGGTAGATCTGTATGCAGATTTGGATTTCCATTGCCACCTTTGCCCAAAACCATGCTTCTTGAACCCTTGGATGTTGATGTTGAGCATTATAGAAAGTTGTATTCTGATATTCAGAAGAAAATGAATGATTACAAAGATGGTTGCAGTTTAGACTATGAGTCTTTCTTGGAGACTGTTGTAGAAATGTGTGAGGATGAGTACATAAAATATATTCGAGCATCCCTAACGTTTCTCGCGAATAAAACGTGATTTACAGTATATAAAATATATTCGAGCATCCCTAAAAGGTCCCAAAGTGTTTCTAAGGAGAAGTCCATCTGAAATGAGAGTGAATTACTACAATCCATCAGTGTTGAAGGCTTGGAATGCTAACTTAGATATTCAGTTTGTACTCGATCCTTATGCCTGTGCCACATACATTGTTGCTTATATCAGCAAATCTCAAAGAGGAATAAGTGCTATGCTTGAAAAGGCATCTCATGAAGCTGCAGAGGGAAATATGGATCTTAAGCGACAAGTTCGACATATTGGAAACAAGTTTTTGAACTTTGTTGAGGTCAGTGCACAAGAGGCAAGTTACTTAATCCTGCAGATGCCACTTACACAAGCAAGTAGAGAGGTTGTTTTTATAAATACCTCACCACCTGAAGACAAGAGTTTTCTTACTCAAGCATCAAGATGAATTGAATGAGTTACCAAAAGACTCAACTGACATTAAGTCAGATGGTATGATACAGAGATATGCAAGAAGACCAAAGCAACTAGAAAATTGGTGTTTAGCTGATGTTGTTTCTGAGTTGGAAGTCACTTTTCCAAAAGAAATGGAAAAAGATGTGCAAGAGGAAGTGAATGACGATGACCCTGAAAAAGATTCTCAAGAGAACATCTTTTCTGATCAGGATGTTTTAGTTCATTTGAAAAATGGGATTAAGATCAGAAGACGAAAAAACAAACGGGTTATTCGATACGTAGGGTACAGCCAAAAAACAAATTCTGAACAGTCCTACAGAGAGAGAATTCTTCTCTTTCTGCCTTGGAGAAATGAGAATACTGATCTATACGGTAGTTGTCAAACTTATGAACAGCATTACAAGCAAAAAGCAAGTATAATACAAATGAAGCAAAGGCAATATGAGCATTTTGTGGATGAATTAGAACAAGCTCGACTTCAAGCTGAAGAAGATCTTGATGATCTTGAAACAGTAGCACCAAATACAGAACATGCTGAGGCAGAAGATGCAGAGATAGGCTGTGAACCATCGGAGGAATTTGTACATTTTGATCCTGATACAGTTCAACATAGAGATTTTGATATAGGTCCAGACCTGGGTTTGTCCTCTAAAGTATCTGAAACAGAAATGAGTGCTGTACGCATTCCTGATGAGCAGTATTATAAACTTTTGCAATCCCTGAATACAAAGCAGAGAGAATTTTACAATCATGTGACAAACTGGATTCAAAACAGAGATGAACCATTATATGCTTTTCTTACTGGTGGAGCAGGTGCAGGAAAATCTGTAGTTATTGATGCCATTTTTCAAACATTACACAAAATACTTTATTCAAAAGAAGGAGAAAATCCAGATGATATTCGAATATTACTTTGTGCTCACACTGGAAAAGCTGCATACAACATCAAAGGGACTACTATTGCGTCAGCATTTCACAGGAAAATGTACCAAACACAGCAGCACATGAGTGCAGATGAATTGAACTCATTTAGGACAAAGTACCGGAATTTGTCAATTGTGATAATAGATGAAATTTCAATGGTTGGAAATAATATGTTGACATTTATAAACGATAGACTCCAACAACTAACTGGTAGAAAACAAGACTTTGGTGGTATTAGTATCATAGCTGTGGGTGATTTATATCAGTTGCCACCTGTTGGAGACAAGTGGATTTTCAAAGACCTTTCTAATCCTGGTCAGAGTTTAGCAAAAAATTTGTGGCAGGAGCATTTTCATATGCATGAACTAACTGAAATTATGAGACAAAAGGATGACCTCCGATTTGCAGAAATGTTAAATAGACTTCGTGAAAACAAGATGACAGATGAAGACAATGAACTCATTTCTCAATGAATCATCAAGCAAGACTCGGAAGTCTATCCTAAGGAGGCACCTCATCTGTTTATTGAGAACAAGTTTGTTGATTGTTTTAATAATAATCTGATAGAAAACCTTTCAACAAATAAAGTAAATGTAAGAGCAGACACAGATGTGTTGTCACAGACAAAACTTTCTGCATCAGTGAAATTGAAACTAGTTCAAAACTTGCCTGAAAACCCAGCATCTACTGGACAATTAAGAACTAATTTGGTTATTGCTGTGGATATGCTGTATGACATATCAGTGAATCTTGATGTTACAGATGGATTGACAAATGGTGCTTCATGTGTTGTGAAATACATTGAATATAGACAATCACAATTAAGACCAGCCATAGTATGGGTTCTGTTTGCTGAGTCAAGTATAGGTATTTCAAGAAGACATCAATACAACCATTTGTTCAGCACAAATGTTAACACTACATGGACTCCCATATTTGAAGCTAAAAGAACATTTGCTTACAACAGGAAGACCTATGAGAGAGTTCAATTTCCACTCCAACCATCTGCTGGAAAAACAATTCACAAAGCACAAGGAGCAACACTTTCAAAGGCAGTAATCAGTTTAGCACAAACAAAGCAGCGAAAAATTCCTCACATACATTATGTCGCACTTTCAAGAGTAAGGTCACTTGATGGTCTATTCATTCTGGATTTCAATGAAAAAAGCCTTTCAAAAGATGAAAATGTTGATAGAGAGATGGAAAGATTGAGAGATAATAGATTGCATCTCTCGTACATACCACTTTACTCAGTATATAAAGATGTCAAATTTTTGTTCAACAATGCAAGATCTCTTCACAAACACTTTTTTGATATAAAATCAGAACCAAGTGTTTTAGCTGCAGATGTTATTGGTATAGCTGAATCTTGGCTTTGTGAATCAGATTTTGATGAAGACTTTACTTTGGAGGGTTTTACAATGTTCAGAAATGATGCAAATTTTTCCCAGACCAGATCACATCATGGCATTGTCATATACTTGAGGAATCATATACAGTGTTTGACATACAACTCCTTCACTTCCAAATCTGTTGAATTTTCCATAATTTCCATTATGCCATCCAATACTCCAATGCAGTGTGTAGTTTTATATAAGCAGCCTTCTTGTACTCTTGAACATTTTTACGATACCTTGAAGAACAGGTTGCTTCCATTTGTTAACAAAAATGAAAAAATTGTGATGATGGGAGATTGTAATTTGGATTTGAATACTGGTCAGTATGGACATTTCCTATACTTTATGAAAGAAAACTTTGGTTGTGAGCAAGTGATAAACAAGGTTACAACAAAAAACAAGACACAGATAGACCTAATATTTACCAACTTTACTGATATACAAACAGATGTGCTTCAGGCTTATTGGTCTGACCATAATATGATTTATTGTGCTGCAGATACTCCTTAAGCTAGTTAATGATATAGGTGCATTTGTATTTTCCAGTATTAAAAACCCTCTAGAGCAAAACACAGGCAGTATGTAAATATTTAGTTTCCATTGTAAACTAAATATTTACACACTGCCAAGAGTGGTTAGGCAAAATCAAGGGTTGCCACTCATCATTTATCCTATATGTCCCAATAACTCCCCTGCATCTTTAAAAAAAAAATACATATGTACATGTATGCGAGTCAATAATTTTAAAATTTTGATACATATATTTTCTTATTCAGGGAAATTATTGGGACAAAATTGTGTTTAGAATTTGAATGCCCATGAGATGGAATTATTTAGTTTAATATGTAATTGTAATGTTTGCAAACTTTAAAAAAAAAGATGAAAACATGTTGGCTGCCTTTAATTTATATAGTTCAAATTTCATCACAGGATTGTTTTCTTATAACATGTAGATTTTTGTGTTATAACACAATATGTAAATTTGAATGTTTTTGTAATTATTGAACTAAACATCTAAGTCATTTATAAATTGATTGTTATATGAGTATTATGCATGTTCTTTTTTTATTGAAATATGAAAGTATTATAATGAATTATTGTACTGGTTTATATCTGCAAGATTTGATTCGATCAAATATTAAGATATTTTTTATAGCATATACTTAAGTGGCCATGCATAAATCTAAATTAGACTTGATCTTTTTGGTCTGGATGAAATAATGCAATCAAATAGCATTTGATACTTTTCCAATGTTAAGTTTTACTTCTTTTTAATTGTTTTAACATTTATTTAAGGGCCCTCTAGACACTTAAAAAAAATTGAGAAAATGATAGTAAAAGTGTAAATACTGAGCTTATCTATTAAATTTTCATCATACCTATGCTTTCAGCCTTAGAAAAAAATATTCAAAGAAAAGCCATTAGTTTCTTTATTTCAACATGTTCTAAGAGAATGAAGTATACTCATGAACAAATATCACTGTTGTTTACTTAACTGTGCAAAATACACGCAAATGAAGAGTTTAATCTTTATTTTTCTTAGCCTATTTAAGTGTTGTGAATGCTTGATTTGATCACAGATTAGCTGATATGGATAAACTATCTATTTCAATTATTTAGTCTACATCAAATGGCAGATTATCTGCATTAAAATACCACAAAATCTGAATTCTTTAGTGTGCAATGTATAAAGGACTCTTAATGTTTTTGTGTTGTAAAGTACTTTGTACATTGTATCTGTTTTGGTAATTTAATGCATGTACATGTATAATAATTATAAAATTCATATTTCATCTCATGGGCATTTAAATTAACATCAATTTCTTAAATAGTAGATTTACGTATGGTGATTTATGCATATGTATGGAATTTAAGCATGTATTAAAATTTAAGTATATATTTGAATGAAAGAATTTATGTGTTATACACAGAATTACTGTATATATATATATAGTTATTATACAACCAATTGTCATAAGGGTATATTTGCAAAGACATTGTAAACAGAACTGTTTCTGCTTTGAAGCACCATGTGTTAATGTAGTACTGTACATTCCGTCTATACAAAAGACTATATCTCCTGTGTTTCATGTGAAATTTAAAAAGCAACATTCCATTTCTGAAAAGACAATCTACCATGCTAAACATGAAACTGTTAAACCAATTACATTCCATTTCTGAAAAGACTGGCTCCTGTGTTACATGTGAAACTGTTAATTATTTGCACTCCGTTTATGAAAAGACTGATGTGAAACTGTTATAATCTGTTGTACATAATTATATTAAGACTTATAATCATATAAAACACTTTGTACAGACTTGTTGCTAAAACATGTTCTGTAGGAAGTTTTTGTATCAAGCCATCCTTATTTTTGCAAAAATTCCCAAATCTATATTTTTAATAACCAGATAACTGCATATATGTATGTTGAAATTTTATGCAAAAACATTAAGAAATAGATATCCCCTCATAAATTTAGAAGTTGTCCTCATTTACCACAACAAAATTATTTGGAATCGACAGACATTACACAATTCAAGAAACTATGTAGTATACACAATAAAACCCCATTTCCCTGGATTTATGGTATCTTTTGATCTTAACATTTATTTTTCTGAAAAAAGTGTTGATAAATGTATTTTGGTGTTTGTAAACAACTTTTAATCTTCCTTTTCGCTTTCGTTATGTAAGATTAAACAAGTTGTTCTCTACAACCACTGAATACATGCAGCAAAATTTCCTTGAAATATATCCTTGAAATATAGCTATCAATGTTCATTATGCAGATATTTAATGAAATTGTAATCATGGATACTCTGAATTTAAAAGTGGATTTGATTAATACATGTATAAATTCACTGGTCGGGGTAATCTTTGCATATTTATTGTTTTTTTTTTTGTTTTTTTTTTTGTTTTTTTTTTTGGGGGGGGGGGTTGCTGCATTGTTTCAAAATGCTTTGAAGCAGAATGAGTAAAATTGTGTATTAGATTTATTTGTACTGTTCTTGCCATAAAGTATTTAGTTATATGTTCATTACATTTTTGACCAATTTGTAAAAACTAGGGGTAGGATAATTTGATGGTTCAATTTTTACTACATGTATTTGTGTAAATTTTAAAATGTATGTATATAAATTAATGCTTGGTGGACAAACTCAGGTACATGAAAAAAACATGTTCATGCTACCATAATTTCGCAGTATCTATTTTTATGCTTTAACTGTCTGAAATCACCAAAGACATGAAGCATTCACTTTTTAAAGGTAAGTAGCATAGAAAGAGGGGGGTCAATGGCCAGCCCGTAAAGGGAGGTAAACCTTGCTTCTTTCAGATGTTATAGAAATAAAGTGAAGATTGCTTCATACATAATATGCTTGGTGGTAAAATTTCAGAAAGTAGACCAATAAGGTATTTTCATATTGTTTGAAAATTGAAAAAAAGTAATTTAAATATAAATGAATTGTTCACCAAGCTTTCTAAGTAAATGCAATGCTATTGTCATAAATATGACCTCATTATTTCAGTCATTATTGTGCACAATTGAAAAGTAAATTATTGGACCATTGTACTAGTAACCTGTTCATAGAAACATGCTTTTCAGTGTGTAAATCAAGCAGTAATTTATATTTATATCTACATTGATGTGCTCTTTTGCGAGGGAATGGTCTGATTTGCAATGTCTTGTTTTTGAAATTTCCCTTACTTTGCTTTTTTATTGAGTATATTTGTGCCACATATTAATTTAAGCTGCTGTATAATCGTAGATACTAAGATATAAGATGTTTTAATCATGATACCTTCTTTTCAAAACCTCATGTTATATTATGTGATAGATACATGTACATGTAATTCCATTGATTAATACATGAAAATCATTATACTGAGTGAATTAGAACACCAATAAATCTAATATGACTTTCTGTAAATGTGTCATTTTTTATTACAGTATGTTTCAAAGAATGTGAGAAAGAAAGGATTACTACATATCAGACTTATTTTTAAAAGTGCTATAGTAACAAAAATAAATTACACTTTAGTATGTTCATTGTGTAAAGTTACATGTGTACATCTATAA